GCTCCCCGCCGAACCACGCCAAAGCCATCCTCTGCACGCTCGCGACCGAGCCCACCATCGGAGGCCTAGAGGGTGCCTCCACCCAGGGAAGACGGTCCCGATTTCGGTGATAGTGGTAATAATCGGGCTTATAAGGTGGCCCAAAGATCAGCACCAACCCCAAAATCTAGGATCGTCTTCCCCCTGTTGAAGTCCCCCCCTGTGTTGGTATTGGTGCCCCTTACCAAGCCTCCAAGCCATCCTCCGCACGCTCGCGACCGAGCCCGACTTCTCCACGCCGACGTCGCCGATGCATCGCCGACGTGCCCGACGCATCGCTGATGCATCGCCCATGCACGGCGAGATCCTTGAATCCCATCTGCTCGGACCCCATCCAGGAGGCCTCCAGGCTTATCATGTTCCAACCGACTTTAACTTTGATCATCAGAGAGAATTTCGAGCACCAGGAAAGTACCGAAAATTCAGGGCTCTAACGTGTCGGGCCCTAGTAGGCGATACTCGTTCGACGCTGTCTCGATACTTTTCGGGGTGCTCGAAATGATTTCTGGGATGTCGTCCTTAAGTACGATGGGAGCAACATCACTCTCTAGGCCTCAGTCGGGCCTGTCCCTCTACGGGAGGAAGATACAAACATAGTCAAACAGATAGTCTGGGCCTCCTACCCCTTTTGAGGCTTGCTTGAATGTCATTCGACTAGGCTTAAGTCTTCCTCCAACATCCGCCTGCGGGGGGACCGGCCCGACCGAACTCCGGGCAGGCCGCGCCCCCGCACCGGCCATCCCCCGCACGCCCTCGCGGCCGAGCCCGCCGGCCGCACGCTCTCGCGGCGGCGCGGCGGCGCGGCTGCGGGGGAGGCGTGGCTGCCGGGGGGCGGGGGGCGGCAGGCACTCCAAAGGCCGGGCGCCACCACGGTCCCCTCTGCGGGCAATAGTTATATCCACATCCAGTGCGTCTTGGATTCTTGGGCTCTCTTCCCCAGAAACCGTAGACGCACTGGATATGGATAAAATATGGCACCAAGAGGCTTGATTTTATCCATATCCGGTGCGCCTCGGCGTTGCGGCACCTCTTCCCAAAAAGTCCACGACGCTCTGGATATGGATATAAGTACTGCCCGCACCCTCGAGTCGGAGGGCTCCAGCAGTGGTGAAGCGTCGCGGCTCGCCTACAGGCCCACCAGAGCTTGCTCCAAGACCCTTTTGTGGTCTCCACGAGATGCTCCTGGAGCATTTCTGGCTGGTGCGGTCTTGTCTTAACACATCGGGTTCATGTTCTGAGAACTTTGTTTTTTCTTACAACATTTTTGAGTTCTGAGAGAATTTCGTGGTAGAGCTACAGGATTGCCGGGACGGTAGGTCCCTGCTCAAAGGGGGGAGAAGCGTCACCAGCACCACAAGGAGGGCCACCTCCACGAATGAGGTCCACGATGCCCCCCCGAGCTGGAGGCCGGGGACCTCCCGAGCGAGAGGGGGGGGGCCACACCACCAGGCAGACCCCTCCGGCTCCTCGCGCCGCCTCGCCCTGGCGGTGCTGGCGTCGCCTCTCCTCGTTCTCTCTATGGAGCTGCGGGGCGGTGGGTGGCCTGCTGGGGGCACGGCCGTGCTGAGCGGCCGGGCCGCGAGCCCACCGCCCGGGGAGCGGCACGCTCGGCATGGTCAGGGCGCCAGAGGCGGGAGGGGCACAGCGGACGGGGGCACTGTTGGTTGGCAGCCGCAGGCGAGAGCGCCAGCGGCGAGTGAGGCCCGAGCGTGCCGCGCGGGGGCCTAACTACCTGGCGCGGAGCAGAGCAGGACCTGCCGCCGAGGGAAGCCTCAGCGCCGGGGCTGCAGACAGACGGGGGCACGGGAAGCGCCGATCTCCACGTTTGGTTGGTTACGCATGCTTCCGCTTAGGGGGCCCGGGCGCCGCAGACGGGGTCATAGCACACGGGGGCACACAGAAACGCCTCAGCCCCCGTTCGGCCAAGTCCCCGTTCACGAAGCCCCGAAACGGGTACGGGAAGAACGGGGACGGAGACCGACATCAGTTCTTGTCCATTTTGAACCGGGTTCGCTGTCGGCGTCGCTGCGGACGCTGTCCGTTTAAGATAGAAGGCCGCCGGCCCGATAGCGGCCGCTGTCGGTTTTGGACAATGTTTGTTGTTGGGCATCGTACCCATTTCTCCGCAACCGTTGCGGGCGTCCAAAAGGTGGTTGACATCAAGGGAAGAAACGGGGACCACGACCAAGACGTCGCGGGATCATGTCGATACTGAGCTTTGTCAGGGTCTGCGTCGGCCGTCGCCGATTCGCAAGGATGATCCGCGAAGTGACGCTGACCAACATCCCTAGGCCTCCCAGATGAGGCCCAAGTAGATGGGGTCGGAGGATCGCGCCGCATCGCCGATGCAATGGCGATGCGGCTCGATGTGGAGCCCGACCTTCTCCACGCTGGCGTCGCCGATGCACCGCCGACGTCGCCGAGGCATCGTCGATGCATCGTCGATGCGACGCCGATGCGGCGCGATCCTCCGACCTCGTCTACTCGGACCCCATCTAGGAGGCCTCTGAGATCGGCGGCGACCAAGATCGGCACGACGCTTCTGCTCGTTCATTCTTGGGCATGGCCCCTGTGTCCTTCTCCTCCGTGATAGCATGCCCCTTCGGCGGCCTGCCCGAGTCGGTCGCGGGAGCTCTCGACCCCTCCCCATGTTTGTTGTTGTTGGTGTTGTTGTTGTTGGTGTTGTTGTTGTTGTTGCTGCTGCTGCTGTTGTTGTTGTTGTTGAACATTATTACTTCTAAAGAATAATTATTGTTGGGACCCCTGGTGCACGGCCCCCTCGCCGCGCCTAGGCCGCAGCCTTGTTTTCATTATTTTCGAGCGAAAGCCCTTGACAAAACGATGTGATCCAGATCCGGTTGTTTTGTTCCCCCCCGCTTTCCCTTGCAAAAAACAATATAACATGACATTTCTTGTTCTAACATAACCACATTTCAAGAATCCATTGCAAAAAATAAGGTAAAGTGGACACTCGCGCGCGCAAGACGAAATCCTTCCAAAACCTTAGTTTTCGTAGCGATTTTAACATAAAAACATCAAACAACCAATGGTTTTTCAAAACAAATTGTCAAAATTTCATCCCGCGCGCTCTTGCGGATTCGTAGGAAACCCAACACTTTTTAATCATTTCTGTCAAACGGGCTTTTGCGAGCAACTTTTTCGAACTTTTGCAACAACGGTTGCGCACCTGCCAGGGCCATCATCCCTGTCAAATAATACCATCGGGACACATTCGTTTTTTCTTCGCGCGCGCACGCCGTCGTCGTCGGCCGCGGGGCCCTGAATAGTAGCCACGGTCGTCCGCATGCCACGAAGTGAAGTGTCCGAACGTCATTGGGCGGGAAGCTGGGTGTGGGTGGTGGCGATGAGTCGTTTGGAAATTTGGTAGAGCTTGAACCGGCCCCCCCACAAAGTGGGGGTATTGCCCGCCTCCTATGAAAACCCTGGCACTGGTGAGAACGGAGTGTCCCCACGTGCTAGTAATTGTTGTTGAACATATTATTTATTCTAAAGAATAATTATTGTTGGGCCCCCTGGTGCGCGCCCCCCCTGCGCCGCCTAGGCCGCAGCTACATTTTCATCATTTTCGTGAGGAAGCCTCAGGTAATTCGAGTTGATCAAGATCCGGTTGTTTTGTTGTAATCCGTTTTCCCTTGCAAAAAACACTATAAAATGACATTTCTTGTTCTAATATAATCAAATTTCAAGAATCCCTTGCAAAATATAAGGTAAAGTGGACATTCGCGCGCGCAAGACGAAATCCTTCCAAAAGCTTAGTGTTCGGAGCGATTTTAATATAAAAACATCAAAAAACCAATGGTTTTTCAACAAAAAAATGTCAAAAAATCATCCCGCGCGCTCTTGCGGATTCGTAGGAAACCCAACACTTTTTAAACAGTTCTGTCAAACGGGCTTTTGCGAGCAACTTTTTCGAACTTCTGCGACAACGGTTGCGCACCTGCCAGGGCCATCATCCCTGTCAAATAATACCATGCGGGACACATTCGTTTTTTCTTCGCGCGCGCACGCCGGAATCTCCAAAAACCATTGGGTTCTTAAGTTCTGTGGGTGTGTACCCCACGCCAGTGTAGTAGCCACGGTCGTCCGCACGCCACGAAGTGAAGTGTCCCAACGTCATAGGGCGGGAAGCTGGGTTTGGGTGGTCGCGAAGAGTCGTTTGGATATTTGGTAGAGCTTGTAATGCCCCCCCACGATGTGGGGGTATTGCCTGGTGTCGTATGAAAACCCTGGCACTGGGGAGAACACCACGCGTTCGGGTAAAATGATTGTTGTTGTTGTTGTTGTTGTTGTTGTTGTTGTTGTTGTTGTTATTGTTGTTATTGTTGTTGTTGTTGTTGTTGTTGTTTGTGGTGTTGGTGTTGGTGTTGGTGTTTCATGATTCGTTTCGTCTGCGTTGGTTATGTTTGTTTGTGTGTGTGTTTGTGCGCTTGCATCTCTACATATGCATGCATAGATGTCGGTCTACAGGTCTGACTCTCTGCCTGTCTGCCTGCATGCATGAATGCATGCATGCACGCATGTATGTATGTGTCTATGGATTGCAATGCATATGTGTATGTATGAATGTATATATGTATGATTGTCTGTATGAATGGATGCATCTATGCATGGTGGCTGCCAGGCTCGGCCGCATCGCGCCCGTGCTGCGGGAGCGCACGCGGGCTGGCAAGGCCGGCGTCGAGGCGGTCATCACGGGTGGCAGGCGCACACTGCGCAACCACTCGTCGCACGCCGACTTCGGGTGCGGCGCGGCGGAGCTCCCCACGACCGCCGCGGAGGCCAAGGAGCGCGTGCAGCTTGGGCGCGGTGGTATTCGTCGGCTACAAGGTGTGGCTGCCACCCGCGCCGCGGCTGCGAAGCTGGTGTCCAACGAGATGATGGACGCGAAGCTGGGCGACAAGGTCGACTCGGCCTCTCCGCAGGAGGAGAAGCTGCTGGACCAGCACTTCCTCGCGGTTGGCCTCACGGAGAAGATCGAGACGGACATCAACACGGCCGCCACGGCCGTGAACCTCGCCGACGGCTCTCACGAGTTCGAGGGCAAGCAGAAGGAGCTGAGGACGGCCACGGAGGAGACCTGCAATGCGGCCTACAAGCCCGCCCCCTTGCAGGAGGAGAAGCTGCTTGACAAGCACTTCTTCGCGGTAGGCCTCACCGAGAAGATCGAGACGGACATCAAGGCGGCCCCCTCGGCCGCGAGCATCACCGACGACTCACACGAGATCGACGGCAAGCAGAAGGAGCTAGACATCCAGCCACGTACGTCGTCCATCAACGATGTGCTGGGCGACAAGGTTGTGCTCAAGACCTCGGAGCACGACGGGTCGGCTGCAGCCGACAGCCTCTTTTCACGCATGGCAGACTCCCACTGCGTGCTCAAGACCTCGGAGTACGGCTGGACTGCCACGCGCCTCACCATGGCCCACGAGAATGCCACCGAGGGTAGGACGGACGGCAACGTGCGCACCTCCATGGGCATGGGCAAGGACAAGGGCAAGTACGAGGGCAAGGCGAGGGGCAAGGGCGCCCGATCCCTCGTCACCTGACCCCTGTCCTCTGGCCCCCGTCCAAGCCCCCACCGCCGTCGGTGGTGCTGCGGGCTTGTGAGGGGCCACTCGCCTGGCGGTCTCTGCCCTGGGTCCCGCCTACCCGGCACGCCCAGGCACCGTCAGGCCACCCCACCTGGAGGGTGACCGGCCAGAGCCGCGCGCGTATGGCCCGAGATGCAAAAAAAAAACATGCATGTATCGCAATGGCATGTAATACAGTGCGATGCAATACAGTGTGCGTGTGTAATGTAATGTGTGTAATGTATTGTAGGATAACGCCATGTAATGTAGTGTAATGCAATGTAATGCAATGCCGTGTAAGGCAAGGTAAGGTAAGGTCATGTAAGGTAATGTAATGTCATGTAATGTAGTGCAATGCAATGCAATGTATGCAACCTAGTGTAATGCAGCGCCATGTAACGTAACGTGATGTGTTGTGTTGTGACGTTTTGAATGTCATGCATGTATGCACGTATGTATGTCTGCATGCCTTCATGCATGCATGCCTTAATGCATGCATGCATGTACTTCACTACGCCGCGCCTCTGCGCGCGTGGCCGCGACGCCAGCGTTTCAGTGCCCCCTGGGCTCCGGCACTGGCGCCCCTTCTTTTGGCGCCGAGAGCGGCGAGACCGCTCCCGCGCGGCCCCTCGGATGCTGCCCCGGGGGCCCGGGGAGAGACGCGCCCTGCCGCGCCAGGTGCAGAGCATCGTGCGGTACTGCTCGCTGCCCGAGCGCGAGGCGCCCTGCCCCGGAGCGCCGGCCGCCTGGCCGACCTCGAGGGCGGCCAAGACAGGGCTCGTTTCGATTCCTCCGATTCGATCCGATTCGAGTTCGGTTGCTTTCGATTCCGATTCGATTCGACCTAGGATGCCGATTTGGGTTCCGATGTCTCATTGAAGGCAGATTTGCCTGCCGATTTCCGTCGATTCGACTTTTTCCTACTCGGCTGCCGATTTCCGCCGATCCGATTGCCGATCCGACTTGTCGATTCGATTCTCGGCTCTCCTGGCCAAGAAGGGGGTGGCGACTAGGGGGGGTGGATATCATGGCGCGGGCCATGATATTTCCTCAGATGCCATGGCGCCTCTTCTGATCTCATTGCGTCCTTGGCCCACCCCACTGGGCCGCGCACGTGCCGCTGGCCATGATTTGCGCCTCCCCCCCCCCCCCGCTTGCACGCCCCCATCGTGGCCGCCCTCGAGACCGGGGGTCGGGACGATCGAAATGAGTATCAAGGGAGGAAAATCCACCCCGACCCTGACAGTCTGCGTTTTCTAGACTGGCCCTGGGCGTTTACTAAACAGCCCTGCCCCGTTCGATTCCTTCCTTGGGCGCGTTTGCTGAACGGCCTCGTTTGCGGGGGTGCTTCATTCTGAGGGTGATTTTTCTGTTTCTAGGTTACGGAACGACTGGGTGCAGTGACCGACAGAATGCCTTGTTCCTTTGAACAGGGCTCGCTGTCGGCGTCGCTGCAGATGCCTGTCCGTTTGAGGTAGACGATCGCCGGCCCAACAGCGGCCGCTGTCGGTTGTGGACAACGCTTGTTGCTGGGCATCGTGCCCAGTTTTTCCGTGACCGTTGCGGGCGTCCGACAGAGGGACGGGGCGTGCAGTCGAGAGGGGCTTTCTGATCTCGGGTCGGACGAAAGGGGGGAGAGTACACAGGGAGGAGGAGGGGGAGAAGGAGGAGGAGGAGGAGTACGGAAGGGGGGGGGGGCGGGAAACGAAATCTGCTGCACGCAGCCAGTTTCGGCCCCGGCCGCAGGGCGCTTTCCTCGATGCATGGTGCGCCCCTGGCGCCAGGAGACGCCTGGGAAACCGGATGGGTGAGCTGATTCGCAAGGCCCCGCCCTCGCTCTCGCCCAGATCATCACACGGGGCCCAGGGCCCTGGCCCCGAGACGCTGCGGCCCGTCATCGACACGATTGACACGGGCACAATGGAAACCCATGCCAAGAAACACCCTGCTTGCCTCCAGGGTGCCCTGGGTTTCTTGGGTTTCGATGGTTCTGCTATGGCAAGTGCGACGTTCCCGCACTAAAACTCGATGGACGTCCTGGGGTCTCAGGGTTGGGTTTCGTGTGGAAGGTTTCTTGCGGACTGGCCTCCACTGTACGGTTTGAATGGGCGCAAAGACCGGCAGCATTTCTTCTTTCAGCTCGAACAGGACTCGCCGTCGTTGTCGCCCTCGGAACGCTGTCCTCGTGGCCGCCTGCCCAAAAACGGCTGCTGCCTGTTTTGGTGAACCTTCGTCGTTGGGCCTCGTGCCCGTGCTCTCCGCACCGCTCTCCGACGTCCCGGCGTCAGCGGCGCAAGAGGGCGAGATGTCCAGAGAGGCAGCAAGGCGCGCGCCGCGGAACGAGGGTCCAGATCGCACGGCTGGGCCCAGGCAGGCTCGCGCCGTGAGAGACAACAGACGGTTCTTGGCAGCTTTCGGCCTCCGGGGGCCTTCGCCAGGCCTCGGGGCCGTCGTGAGAGTTTTCGGGTAAGTTTCCTTGCAGGGCGTTCGACCCCCTCCCCCTCCCCCCTCGCCCCTCTCCAGACGAATGCCAGCGTGTGCAAGTGCCGCTCGACGTGCATGATCTCCGCACGTGCAAGTCGTTTGCGGCTTGCTTCAGGTTCAGGCCCCCCCCCGTCCATGCAAGTAAGCTTGCCGGAGTCTAAACGAAAAAACAGGCTCTAAATCTATGATATTCCAACTTATTTTAGCCTTGATCGCCAGAAAGAATTTCGAGCCCCCAAACAGTCTCGAAACTCAATGGTTTTCACGTGTCGGGCCCTGGGAGACGCTGGTCCGACACTGTTTCGACACTCTTTCGACGCTCTTTCGACACTCTCTCTGGGTGCTCGAAATGATTCCTGGGATGTGGTCCTGGAGTACGATGGGAGCCAGCCGCGGGGCTTGGATCGGGACCCGTGCCGCCGGAGGCTCTCCTCCTCCTCCTCCTCCTCCTCCTCCTCCTCCTCCTCCTCCTCCTCCTCCTCCTCCTCCCCCTCCTCCCCCCCTAGCCAGAGCGCGGCCTGTTCACGCGCATCGGCGACGGCACGGCCGACCTGAGCGACGTTGCTTGGAACAAGTTCTACGAGTACTGCGCGTTCCTGCAACGCGCGGACGCGCAGGAGAGGGCGAGGAAATGGAGGTCATGGGCTAAGGAGGCGGTGCTGAAAGGGGGGAAGGCGGCGCACGCCTATGCTCGGAAGAAGCCCTCCGTTCCCACCCACCTGGAGCAGGGGCCTGGAGGGCCCCCCATCAACGGTGACCAGGCCATCGCCTCCCTCCTGGACGAATGGATGCCCATGTGGGCCCCGCAGGGCCGCGCCCCCGTCGACCCTCGTTCCTGGGACATCGGAGACAGCTCCCTGCCCCCGCTTTCCTTGGAGGCCTTGCAGGACGCGTGCCGTTCGTATCCAGAAGGTGCTGGTTTAGGATGGGACCAATTCCACCCGCGGTGGGTCCTCCAGCTCCCGGTCGAGTACCAGGTCAGGATCATAGGTATTCTCCACAAGTTCGAAGATGACCCGTCCTGGATCTTCGAGCTGGTTACTAACATAGTCTTCATATCGAAGCCTGGGGGCGGAGTCCGACCGATTGGATTGCTGTGTCTATGTATGAAGCTTTGGAGCAAGCTTAGACAGCCGCTGTGCCGAGAGTGGGAGCGAGCCCACAACATGGAGTTCTTCTGGGGGAGCGGACCCACCACGACGTGCGAGAAAGCAGGCTGGACCCACAATCTTCTTGCAGCGTTTTGTCGCTCCCTCGGCACGGACAGCGCCACGGTGCTCTTGGATTTAAAGAAATTCTATGAGCACGTGGTGCATTCGGATTTGTTCGCGGCGGCCCGACAGTTCGATTTTAATTTAAAGCTCCTGAGGGGTCTGGTTACGATCTACTCGGGATTTCGAACGTTGTTGTTCGACGGGGCGATTTCGGAGTTCCTGCAAGCAACGGGGGCTATCGTGGCTGGATGTTCGGCGGCGACGACGTTAGCCAAACTTTTACTCTTGGGGCCGCTGTCGTCGATAATGCATGGCCGCCCGCAGCTGCAGGTAAGGAACGTCGTCGACGACGTGGCCCTCCAGTGCTTCGGACCGCAGCAGCTGGTCGTTGGCCAGCTCCCTTCGGCGGTCGAGGGCCTGCTCGGGTACTTCCGGGAGCTCAGCCTCCCCATCGAATGGACGAAGTGCAAGTTTTTGGCGAGCAGCGCAGAGTTGGCTCAGCGATTGTGCGAACAATGGACCCTCCCCGCCTCGAGTAGAGTCGACACAGCGCGTAATCTCGGCACGGATGCGTCGCCAGGAGGGGTCCGTCGTGTGGGTGTGACCCGAGCGCGGTGGAGCAAAGCAGCCAGGGCCGCGGGGCGCCTGGCCGGCCTGCGGGAGGCTGGGGCTGATGTAACATGGATTCAGGGGACTGGTCCGACAGCGGCTGCGTTGTGGGGAGTGTGTGTGTCATGGGTGTGCCACCGTCTGAGCTGCATCGGCTGCGAGTTGCCACGTGTCGGAGCCTCGGACGTTTCCCTCGTGGTGCCACGGTTGGCCTCAGACTCTACACTTTCAAGAACGGCTTCCGCGTGGACCCATGGGTGATCTCGACGGGGCTCGTGTTGCACCAGTGGGCCTCCGCAGTCTGGGAAGGGGATCCGAAGCCATCGATCCTGACCAAAACGCTCGATGCAGCTAGGACCAGATGCCAGGCTTCGACAAGGCCGTGGACAGGAGCGGCGACTCCGGCTGAGGTATTTTACCTCACGTTGCAAGGCATAGGTTGGGAGCCGACGTCTTCGCAGGTAATTCGCACAGATCAGGGGCAGGAGCTCAACCTCGTTCGACTGGCTCCTGCTTTGCTGAAGCGGCTGGTGGAGACCGGACTGAGTAGAGCCTCCGACCGTACAGCGCTGGAAGCGCATTCCAGCCCATGGAAGCTGCCCATTTTTTGGGCTTGTTCAAATCAGCTCTTTTCAAAGAAGACTTCGATTCGGACCGTCCGGCACCACCGTGCCTTGCGCGCAGTTTTCTCCGGAGTTTGGTGGTCCCAAGCTCGGCTGCACAAGCACGGTTTGGCTGCCTCGGGAGCCTGCGCTCTATGTGGCGACCCCGATGGGTCGATCTGGCATCGGTGTTATGCTTGTGATGCACACGCGGCGCTCAGGAGAGACAGAGTCACAGCTGACCACCTTCGGAGAGCCGGCGCGGTGAAGTCCTGGAGTTTTGAAGCCGGGGAGCTTTTCGCCAGGGGCATTTTCCCTGACCCAGGGCCGCTATTCACGTTCCCCGTGCCGGCTCAGACTATCTTTTGGTTTAAGAGGCCCAGCAGCGGCTACCTATCGGGGCTGTTATTCACCGATGGCTCGGCGATGTGGACCCGAGCGCCAGGTTTAGCCCGCGCAGGCTGGTCGGTGGTCATGTGCGATGACCATGGCCGAGTGTTGGCTGCGGCCTATGGCCCTCTCCCTCTTGACCTCGCCCCCCGTCAAACGGCGAGGGATGCGGAGGATTTCGCAGTGAGCATCCTCACGCAGGTAGCGATACCTCCGTTCCAGATCTACGGAGATTGTAAAGGCACGGTCTCGACGCTGCGGAAGGGGCCTGGCTCTGGTTCGGGGTGCGGGAACCCGAGGGCCCACATGTGGGCCCCTTTCTGGGCTTCGTTCGGCCCTGGGGACTTCGAGGCTCACAAGACGAAGGCTCACTGCAGCATGACCGACGTGTACAGTGGCAGGACTACGTTATGGGAGAAGCGCGGCAACGATGCCGCAGACGAGTTCGCGAAGCGAGGAGCGAGCAGCCACGGGGTAGAGGAAAGACACTACCACCTGTGGCGCGGGCTTTTAGATTTAGCACGCGAGCCTGCTCAGTGGTCCGGGGAGGTTCACGGGTTGTTGGGGGATGGGCTGGCCGGGAAGGATCACGACGATTTGCTCGAGGCATACCTTGGGGCGCGTGCTGCAGCCGAGGAGGCTCCAGATCCGGCGCCTGAGAGAGTGCCTCAATCGTTTGATGCGCCAGCTCAGCCTCCCGCCGAGGGGTGGGAGGAGTTCCGTGACGCGGGCTTTAGCTTTAATGGCCACCCTCTGTTGCATGCTAGGGTGGTGGCGAGGAGCGGACGTGACGATAATCGTGCCGTGTCGTTTTGTTGCGCCTGTGGGGCCTACTTTTGTTTTTTTTTTTTTTTTTTTTTTTTTTTTTTTTTTTTTTTTTTTTTTTTTTTTTTTTTTTTTTTTTTTTTTTTTTTTTTTTTTTTTTTTTTTTTTTCTTTTTTTGTTTATTTTTTCTTTTTTTTTTTTTTTTTTCTTTTTTCTTTTTTGTTTTTTTTTTTTTTTTTTTTTTCCTTTTTTTTTTTTTTCTTTTGTATTTTTTTTTTTTTTTTTTTTTTTTTTTTTTTTGTTTTTTCTTTTTTTTTTTTTTTTCTTTTTTTTTTTTTTTTTTTTTTTTTTTCTTTCTTTTTTTTGTTTCTCGGGCGCACTTCGGCCCACGAGGGCCCTTCTCCAACCCTGCTACCGTGAGCATGCTGGTTCCGGCCTGGTCGACCAGCTGCGTCGGATCAGGGCCAGGCAGTATCCGTCTTACAAGCAGGGGCTCAAGGATCTGGTGCTGGAAGCGCCGGAAGGAGTCCCTGCGGAGATCCGTTTGAGGATGCGCTCCCTGTTCAGTCCTAGCCCGCAGGGCCAAGGGGGACCACAGCCTGGTGGGTCCCTGGGGTCGGTGTCGGGGGTCCCTTGCCCCAGCGATCCTCGGTCCTGCGTGCTAGGATCCTTTGGCATAGGCGAGGCTGTTTTGGCTGCGGTGGAAGCCCGCGGCAGGACCCTCTGTGCAGATGACTCGGAGGGGGAGGCCTCGTCTGACTCCGACGGCGAATCCGTCGGCTAAGACTGCGAACCTGGCTTTAGGCCGCTGTCTCATCTCATCTCATCACCCCCCTAGCCAGAACTCTAAAACGACTCTGAGTGCAAAGCCGGCCACGGGACTTGCCTCGGGACCTCCGGGGACCGCGGGCCGGACATATATCAAGGCGTGGCACGTCCGGGTCGACGTCGGGGACGTTGTTTCGCCTTGGCTCCTTCGGTGCCGGCGGGCGTTTGGGCCCAGACCGCTCCCGCGGTGTGGGTGGCGAGCCGCAGATTCTTGAGGGAAAGAAGCACACAGACACAATGAATCGTCGATTCCCCAGAACATCCGGGAAAACATGGGAAGTGGGGGGGAAGACAAAAACCCAGAAAATATTTGAAAATAGAGGGAATATTGTTATTTGTGTGTATTTATTTGTGTGTCCCAGGGCCCCTTCACAGATGGCCCGTGCTGCCGCTGCCCCCAACACATTCAGATCGCCAGGATCTTGTCATGGAATGGCCTGCCTGCCCACTGAGAGGAAGGGGGTGGCACCATGCTCACCAGGCGCGTTCCACCATTCGTCGAGTGCCTACTCGCAAACGTCCGAACATCACAGGCTTGCCCGGATGTAATGAGGTGTCTCGCCCTGCGGGGCGGCAGGTACCAACGAAAACCCCCCGTGGGCACGGGATGTTACGTTGTATCTTCTGGGGGCCTCGTCTGTCCTTAAGATTCGATGCGGATCCTACGCGGATTTGACATGGGTTCGACATGGTTTCGACTCGGATTCGGCGAGCTCGACATGGATTCGACGCGGATTCGACGTGGATAGCGGGGCGACGGGAGAGACACGAAGATGCAACGTAAAAGACGGAGGGGCAGGGCCGCTCGGCGCTGTTGCTCAGCAGGGTGGTAGCGGGGCGGGGTGTGTGTGGCTCGGAGTTTGAGGAGCAGGACGGGGACGACGGCTCTGCACCTCGTGGGTGTGGTCTCTCGCTGCTGCGCTCCGTTGCCCCTTTCGCCGGGGTCGTTTTGTGCGCGATACCCCAGCAGAGGCAACCTTGCTTGCGTGTCGGCCGCGCGCGGACGACATCCTGACGCCGTAGGCGGATCGCCCTCACGGCATGTCTAAGACAAAGGGGGCCACGACAACGAGGGCCAGGGAGCTGTCGGTCCCTGCCGGTCCCCCCTGGGGGTGCCTACTCTCGAATAAGAAGCGGCACGCGTAGACATAAGTTTTTGGACCTCCGCGCGGACTTTTGGGATCTGCGCCGGGCCTTGCTCCCTGGCGCGCGGGGCGCGCCATTGGCGGCGCTGGAGGCGCCGCCAGGGGGGCCCAGCGCAGAACCAAGAAATCAGCGCGGAGCTCCAACAGTCTGTGTTGATGCACTTGTTTTGTGCCTCTGTCCGTCAAGCAGCGGCGAGGCGTCCTGGCATGCTTATAGGTTCACGAAAGAATGTCATACGACCATGTTGTGGTTTGCACGGCATTTTCTCATAACGGGTTTTGCTGACGTCGTGTTCATATATACTACACGGGTTTGATGATGGTCCAAGGGCGTCGTTTTCTTGCTTGGGGCATGTTGTCTGTTGTCCTAGGAGTACTTCGTGGCAGGCCTAAAGGATTGCTGGGACGACGGTCGGTCCCTGCTAGGGGGCCACATGCGAACCCGACCCCTACCCCCCACGATTTCTGAGGGGGAGGGTGGGGTTCACTTCGCTTGGGAGCTCCCGAGCGAAGTGAACCCACCCTCCCCCTCCAGAACAGAAAGAAATCGTGGGGGGGGTTAGGGGTCGGGTTCGCATGTGGCCCCCCTACCTGCTCAACACAGGTTTGCTGTGCCCCCGTCCCTCTGCGATCGGGCCGCGCTCGGCTGCCCTCTGCACCTCCGGCGGCGGTCGCAGGGGCGCCCGGGCCGCCCGCGCGCACGGCGGCGAGCGCGGGGCGCGCGCGCGAGGTGCTCCGGGAGCGCGTGGACGCCGCGGCGGTGCAGCCCACGAGCCCGGAGGGAGCGCCCGCGGTCGCGGAGGTGCAGAAGGACCCGCTCGGGCCCAGGCTCTCTGTGCGGGCTTGCCCGTTGCACGTCGGCTGGAGTGGCGCTCTGGGTCTGCCTGCCGACGGCCCAGCTCGCACGGAGGTTCCACGCAGCCGAGGCGTCGAATTTTGGGGGTCCTTCCTCCTGCCCTGCCAAAAAAAGAAGGACCTGCGCCGTCCGCCATCCATGCCTTGGGGAGGGCGCATTCGACCTGCCTCTCGAGAACCAAAAAATGTGGTGCCTGTGCCAAATGCCTGCGGGCAATACCTATATCCATATCCAGAGCGTCGTGGACTTGTTGGGAAGGGGTGCCGCAAGGCCGAGGCACACTGGATATGGGTAATAATCGAACCTTCTCGGGCAAAAATTGATCCATATCCAGTGCGCCTCCGGTTACTGGGGAAGAGAGCCCAAAGCTCTAACACTGGATGTGGATATAACTGTTGCCCGCAATGCCGTTCTCACGTTCAAGCCCCAAGCGTCTACAGACACAATTGGGTGTCGTTTCGTATATAGACATCTTCGGCGCGGATGCGTCTGTAGACAACGCGACCGTTACGTGCGGCGCAGTGCAAGGTCGGAGAAAGGGTAGATCTGCCTACGGTATGTTCCCCTGTTCTAGAGCAGGTCCCACATGGTCCTTCAAGACCTGCGCACTCCGCCCCATGCGGTAGGTTCGCGTCATGCCGACGCGGCGGCGGCACCAGCTCGGGCGTTCAAGGTTGAACGCCGCCCGGTGGCCTGAGATCTGCCAAAATGGAACGATCTTTCGATCGAGACGCTGTCGATCCTTCAAGATTGAATGATCCACGCGGTGTCAGAAACCACTGCTGGGGTCATCACGATCAAACCTGCCGTAACAACCCTTGGTCTTGGTCGTCCTGCTCGTCCTGCTGCTGCTGCTGCTGCTGCCCGTCGCTGTTCCCAGCTTTCCCTCCCTTCCCCCCTCCTCCGCTCCTTCTTCTGCTGCTCCCTCCTGCTCCTCGTTCTCTATTCGTCTTCTGCCTCGCCGTTCCTCGAGCCTTGCGTCCCTCCCCTCGCCACCTCTCTGCTGTTGTTCTTCCGCCGTTATTCGTTACACCGTTTGCCTTCAAATGCGATGTCACCGGGTATCGAATCGACCACATAAGTTCAGTCGTTTACCCGCAGTCGTTTAAATCGAGTCAGTGCTGGATTCCCGCACATTCTGTTTACCTGAGCAGGAGTTGTGACCAGCGTTTCGTCTGTGCGGAGTATCGTCTGCTGCTGCCGTCAGATGCAAAGTAATCGTGTCCAAGCAAGTACGACTCTTTGTCGGTGCCAGCGGTTACACCAGTTGCTCGGCTTGGCATGGGTCCAGGGCCGGCCGAAACAGCAGGAGCTTCACTGGACTTGCGGGCGCGCCTACAGTGGAAGCCCATGCCAAGAAACACCCTGCTTGCCTCCAGGGTGCCCTGGGTTTCCAGGGCTTCAATGGTTTTGCGATGGAGAGCGTGCCGTTCCCACACCAAAAAACAAGGGACGCCCTGGGGTCGCATGGTTGGGTTCCTTGTGGAAGGTTTCTTGTGGACTGACCTCCACTGTATGCGGGGCTCGTGTGCGATGTGCAGGCCTGCCCACCTGGGGCCTCAGCCCAGGTTCTCGACAAGGGTGGTCCCGGGGGAGGCCGCCCTGGGAAGCCTGGGGGGCCCTTTTCCTGCTCAAGCTGCGGAGCGCCCCCGCCGAGGCGTGGGGGCGGGGCTCTCTCTCTCTCTCTCTCTGTGTTCAGCGCGGGGCGGGCCGACCGGGCACTGGGGAGGGGAAGGAGGGAGGCGTTCGAGCATGTCTCCAGCGCTGCAAGGCGAGGCGTCCACGGGGGCGGGGCCCTTGCTTGGACGCCAGGTGGGCGGACGCCGTCTCCGTCGCCGACAGTGCGGGCCCCCGCTCCCTCACGATCCCGCTCCCCCTCCCTCTCTGCTCGCTCCTCCCTCACGATCCGATCGTGAAGGAGGAGCGAGAAGAGAGGAGTGGAGCGAGGGACGAGGATGCGAGGGAGACGATCGGATCGTTTCCTCGGCATCGCTCCGACGCGTGCATCCTTTCCCGGGCGGGGACCACCGAGGAGCATCCTGGATCATGCTGCAAAGAGAGGGCGCACGGAACCGACAAGAATCACGGGGAGTGGACGGCCGAGCGATGGCTAAGTCTTCCTCGCCTCCTCCTCCTTCGCTCCGCGCCCCTCCTCTCGCTCCTCCCTCTTCGCCCCCCCCCTCCTGCTCTTGTCGCCCCTGTCTCCCCTGACCTTCCAGGAGGGCTAAAAAATAGCACGCGACCTAAAAACCTATCCCAGAGCTATTCTACGTCTTGGTTTTAGGCAGTTTCGCTCAGCTTTTTAGGTTTTTAGGTCTCCAGTGCTAAAAAATAGCTCTCTGGAAGGTCAGGGTCGACCCCCCCCCCTCTCTTCCCGCTCGGCACCTCGCCTCCCTGCCCTCCTCTGGCCGCCCCACGCCTCGCGGCTCCCTCGAGGACAGCACAACCAACCCCCCACCCCCCTGCCAGGACGTAGGATGTTCCAACCTGCTCTAGCCTTGATCCTCAGAAAGAATTTCGAGCGCCAGAACAAACACCGAAACTCGAGGGTTTTCACGTGTCGTGCCCTGGGAGACACTCGCCCGACACTGCTTCGACACTCTTTCGACACTTGTCTGGGTGCACGAATTTTTTTCTGGGATGTGGTCCTTAAGTGCGATGGGAGCAACAAACGCCCGGACCCCATTTCTGGCCGCGGTTGGGCTTTTTCCCGCTTCTTGGGGGCCAGAAGCCACCCTCACCCCCAGCCAGGACCCCCTGGATCACGGGGTCGGGAGTGGGGGCCTTTGCTGGGGGTGAGGGTGGGTTGCGCTGTCCTAATCCCTGGTCGTTGTTTTTCCACCCTCCTTGGCGGCGCAGCCAAGGGGTACTGCGAGGGCGGGGCCTCCTTAGAAGCCCCCCCAGTCGCGCCAGCCCCGTGTTCGCGCCGCCGATCCTCCCTGCTGCCTCACCTCATCATGCTACCCCTGCGATGCCTGCCCTGCCGCCTTCCCCTCCTCGCGGACACCTCTGCTCACGCACGCTCCGTGAGCCCCAAATCCAGCGGCACAGGGCATAGGCAGCGGCGCCGGTGCAAGGGCGCACCGACCAGGAGCACGGCGCGCCGGTGCAGCCTTCGGCCCACGAGGTCGTCCTGAGTGACGCGCCCGCCGTCCGCTCGGAGATCTTGTCGGAGCACGCCTCCAGACATCGGGCGGTGCTGCGAGTCCGGTCGCAACTGACGAGGCAAAAGTGAAGTCGCGCCGCGGGGATCGGCGATTACAAGGGGTGTGGTTACGCCGGTGTCTGCTTTGTGATCGGCGCCGTTGGGGCCTGTGGGGCACGACACTGTCCTCGTCGGGCCTCCTCGGGGCGCGGCGGAGAGCTCGGTCGAGGCCCTCGCACCTACCCCGGGGTGTCCCCCCGGGTGCCGGTTGCAACCCACACCCTTCGCGCAAACCACACCCTTCGGAGTCGGCGAGGGGAGCTCGCCCGCGCCCTCCAAGTTTGAAGCGAGCGCATCGAGGTGCACGGGCGGGGAGGCATCCGGCCGGGAGCTCAGCGCACCCGTCAATCTTGACAGGGCCGCTCAACAGAAGTGCCCAGTGCGCCTCTCAACTTCGCGGAGGCCGCTCAACGATGACACATCGTCGAAAGCCACCAGGCGTCGTCGTGTCAATTGCGCCTGGACTTCCAGGACAAAGTAAATCGTTCCGCGTTCAGGAACGCGCTCAGAACTTCCGGAACGCTCTGGAACAGCCGCGGGCCCCCGATACATCCTCCAGAAGCGCTGTATCTCAGAGGTCCTCGATTTACCCTGATCGAACCCTGTCTTGGCCCCGTCTTGAGACGAGGGAAATATCACACCGACCCTGACCAAGAAGTCGCGAAATCTTGTCGGCGCCGATCTTGGTCATGGTCCATGCCGGCCGCCGCCGATTCGCGAGGGTGACCAGGATCGGCACGACGTCTCCGCGTGCAGTCCTCTGGCCAGGGTCCCCGCGCTCTCCCCCTCCATCCAGGCCGGGTGGGCGCGGACAACGCCCCCAGAGGTCGTGGTTCGGAGCGAGAGCGAGCTGGCCGCAGCCCTCTGGGCACCTCTTGGTGCCCTCTTGGGGCACCCTTGGAGCCTCGGGGGGCAGGCTTGGGGCCATCCAATTGGGTGGAGATCGATCAAAGGAGGGGCCGTAGTACATTAGAGCCCTCCCCCCCCCAGGATGCCAACATTCCGAGCACAGTCTATGACTACCACCACCAAGTCCGAGAATATTCTACGATGCGATTTGGTGCAGTTTTGCGCTGGTGAAAAACCCGCAGTCCACCTCCCCTCTTAAGGACCGAAACAGAATTCATCAAAGCACGCGCGGTGGCGGTGTATATAACTCTGGTTACCAAGGGGAGCGATTTTTATACACCACCACCAAGAAGTGCTGCTTCTGCTTCGGGAACTCCCCCTGCCACGGCGCCTGCGAGCTGCGCCGCGCTCCTTTTCGCCGTGGCGTCGACACGTCTGGCATGACCCTGCCCTTAACCCTTTTTGCGGAAAATTATTGTTGCGGGCGGTGGTGGTGTATACAAATTGGCCTCGCAAACATGTGGCCAACACCCTAGTAACATGTGTGAGTTTGGCCTTTTCGCGGAGGCCTCTTGGGGCGTCTTGGGTGTGTCTGGGGGGCCGCTTGGGGCCTCTTGGGGATCTCTTGGAAGCCTCTTTGGGGCACCTTGGGGGCATCTTTGGGCCTCCCAGGCACCTCTTGGGGCCGTCTTGGGGCCGTCTTGGGAGCCTCGGGGGCCATCTTGGGGCCATCTTTGAGGAGATCGATCAAAGGAGGTGCCGTACTCAACTGGCCCCCCCATCCCCAGGATGCCAAATTGTGGTCAAAACTTTGGTACATTAAATGTTTTTGGCTTCCTCGCCGACGCCATCTTGGACGCTCCAACCCCTCGCGGAAGGCCCCGTCCAGGTCCAGGGGAAGGGGTTAGGGGGAGGGGTGATGGGGAAGAAGGGGCGTTGGAGGAGGAAGCGCCCTAAACCAATCACGCCGCCGCCGCCGCCGTCGCCGTCGCCATCGCCATCGCCGTCGCCGTCGTCGCCGTCGTCGTCGTCGTCGCCGTCGCCGTCGTCGCCGTCGCCGTCGTCGCCGTCGTCGTCGTCGTCGTTTTCTGACACCGCCCCGCAGGGTTTGCCACAGGTCTGCTCGGCCCTCCCCGGCGCGCGTCCGCGCGCGGGCAGGGGCCCGGCCCAGGGCGCGGCGGGGCAGCAGACCCCACAGGCCACGCGCGGGCGCTCGCGCGCGAGGGCAGCACCAAGTCGGGCCTGCTCCCCTACAGGAGGAAAGTTCAAACATTGCGAGCACTTTTTTTTTGATTCGCGGGTCGAGAGCGCACCTCTGCCGGTCGAATAAACATTCAAAAGTTGTAAACACGAGGGCTTAAACTTCTGTCCAAGACCCGACCTCAGGGCAGCACGCGCCCCTCCGCGCGCCGCGGCCCCCGGCCAGAGCGGCTGCCTTCTCTCCGAGGGCAGGGGGCGGCGCGAGCGCGCGAGGGCCCGCGGCCCGCGGGGCCGCGAGGCGCGACCGCCCCTCGCCGGGCCTCCCCCGCCTCCCGCCTCGGAGTGCCCTGCGCTGGTCGATGGACCGGCTCTCTGGCTGGCATATACACATATACGATTATATGTGTATGCATATGAATATACACACGTACCTATACATATATATATACATACACATATACAAACATACATACATACATACATACATACATACATACATACATACATACATACATACATACATACATGCATACACACATACATACATACATACATACATACATACATACATACACACACATACATACATACATACATACATACATACATACACATATACATATACATATACATATACATATACATATACATATACATATACATATACATATACATATACATATACCTATACCTATACATATACATATACATATACACATACACATACATACATACATACATACATACATACATACATGCATGCGTACATACATATACATACGTGTATACATACGTGCATGCATACACGCATGCATGCATGCATATATACATATACATACAAACATACATGCATACATACATACAAACATAGCATATCATAGCATATCATAACATATCATATCATACCATTTCATATCATATCATATCATCTCATACCATAACGCAACATACCATAACGCATCATACCATACCAGAACATACCACACCATACCATACCATACACAACATACATACAAACATACATACATACATACATACATACATACACACGTACATACAACCATACATCCATCCATCCATACATACATACATATAGACATGCATATGCACACATACAACCATACATACATACATACATACATACATGCATGCATACATACATACATACATACGAAAGAGCGTGTTCTACCGCTGCTGGCGGAAAACCGGGGGGGGTCACTACCGGTTCGAACCCCTCCCCCCCCCCCCCTCCGGAAAACCGGGGGGGGGTCACTACCGGTTCGAACCCCTCCCCCCCCCCCCCAGCTCATCATGAAAAGGGGGGGGGTCACTACCGGTTCGAACCCCCCCCCCCCCCCTCGAAAACCGAGTGGGGGTGCGGACAGTGGTGGGGACGGTGTTGGTGGGGACAGTGGTGAGGGGACAGCGGGACAGTGGTGGGGACAGGGGGGACAGTGGGACAGTGGTGGGGACGGTAGTGGTGGGGACAGTGGTGGGGACAATGGTGGGAACAGGTGGGACAGTGGACAGTGGTGGGAACGGTGGTGGTGGGGACAGTGGTGTGGGGACAGTGGGAATGAGGTGGAAACACTGGGACAGTGGAGGGTACAATGGTGGTGGAGACACTGGTAAAGGCGGTGGCGAGGACGGCGGTGGGACAATGGGACAGAGGTACAGTGGGGAAAGTGGTGGGGACAGTGGGGACAGTGGTGGAAACAGTGGGACAGCTCAGTGGGACAGCGGAGGAGTCAGTGGGACAGTGGGGACAGTGGGGATAGGCAGTGGTTGGGTCCGTGGAGACGGTGGGGAGAGTGGAACCGTGGTGGGAACAGTTGCGGGAACAGTGGGGACAGTGCGACAGTGGTGGGGGCATTGGTGGGGACAATAGGACGGTGGTGGAACCAGTGGGGACAGTGGTGGTGAGGACAATGGTGCTGGGAACAACAATGGGGGATGTGATGCGCACGGTGGTAGGGACTGGGAATCGTTTGCTGGCCGTGAGTGGGGGGGGGTGGGGAGGGATTCGAACCGGCAGTGATCCCCCTCCGGTTTTCGAGGGGGGGGGGTGTTCGAACCCGTAGTGACCCCCCCCGGTTTTCCGGATCCGGAGGGGGAGGGGGGGGCCCCGGGGGGGAGGGGTTCGAACCGGTAGTGACCCCCCCGGTTTTCGAGGTTGTGGGAGGAATGGGGGGGGGGGGGAGGGGTTAGGGGAGGGGGGGGTTTTGCTGGAGGGATGGGGTCGGGGGGGGAGGGGTCCCGGCAGGGGGGGGGGGGGGGGGATTTTCGGAGGGGGGGGGGAGACCCCTGGGTTCCGGAGGAAAAGGTTGGCAATTTTCCACAGTAAAGCGGCGGTGGATCACGCTCTCTCATACATACATACATACATACATACATACATACATACATACATACATACATACATACATACATACATACATACATACATACATACATACATACATACTACATACATACATGCATGCATACATACATACATACATACATATATACATACATATATACATACATACATACATGCATGCATGCATACATACATACATACATACATAAATACATACATACATACATACATACATACATACATACATACATACACACATGCATACATACATACATACATACATACAAACATACATACATACATACATACATACATTCATACACATACTTGCATACATACATACAAACACACATACATACATACATACATCCATCCATACATACATACATACATACATACATACATACATACACACACATACATACATACATACATACATACATACATACATACATACATACATACATACATACACACATACATACATACATCCGTCCATCCATACATACAGACAGACAGACAGACATACATACACGTGTGCATATATACATGCACATGTACATGTGTATAGCTATATGTTTGTACATAAACACTCGTATCGTTTAACGCATCATCCCCAACCCGATTCCCACCATCCCGATCCCCACCATCCCCCCCCCGCTGGGGATACGCCCCTCGGGACTCGAAGGGAACAGCCTACATCCCCATCCAGGGGGGGCAGGTCGGCCAGTGCGGCCGAGGCCACACCAGTGGGGACAGGGATCGGTGAAACGATGCTCCAGAGAGCCGGGACCGCGGCGCGCGCCCCAGGAGCTCGCCGCCCAGGTCGACGGCCAGGCCGTCGCAGAGGCTCCGCAGGCCTTGCGCACCCCCCCCTCCCTCGGAAGCCAGGGCAGCGAGGGGTGCGCCGCGTGCTGGGGTTCTGGCGCCGCGTCGCAGCTGTGGCGAGAGCCCGATGGTCCCTTCCGCCCTCAGGGGTGGTAATGCCTCGGGTTGCGCACAGGCAGCCCTTCCAGGTAGCCCCGCTGGCCTCAACAGGCCGGCCTCTTGAGACGTCCTGGCTGGCCTCAACAGGCCCCGCGAGAAGTCCTGGCTGGCCCCAACAGGCCCCCCGAGCAGTCCGGGGAGGTCTCAGCATCGTGGCGCCGCCTCCAGCAGCGCCCCTGGGGTTCTCCGCGCCCAAGGGTTGGGGTGTCGAGACCGCCCCGGGCTACTCGGGGGGCCTGTGGAGGCCAGCGGGGACCACCTGGGAGGGGGGGCTGTCTGTGCGCAGCTCGAAGCTGTACCACTTGGGCGGCGAGCAGATTCGGCAGGTTCGCGTCGTGTCGACGGGATGGCGACCCCGCCGCGGGCGGCCAAGGTTGAACGCCGCTGGTGGCCCAGAATCGGCGAGTGCGGAGCGATCTGGCCATCGAGAAGCCGCCGATCGGTCGAGGTTGAACGATCCACGCGGTGTCAGAGACCAACGCCGGGGTCGTCACGACACGAACCTGCGACGCCCACGTCCACCTCTCCTCGAGGAGTCCTCGAGGTCTCGGGGCACGGCTTCGAGAGAAGGGAATCGCTCCCGCCGTGCTCGCGGGCCGTGGCTGCTGCTGCTGCTGCTGCTGCTGCTGCTGCTGCTGCTGCTGCTCCTGCTGCGGCTCCTGCTGCTATTCCTGCTGCTGCTGCTGCTCCTGCTGCTGCCGGTGCTGCTCCACCTCCTCGTTCTCCGCCTCGTCGGTGGCGCACGCGGGCAGTCCCACACTGTGTCGCTGCGTCGGGGCAGGCCTGGGAGGAAGACAGATCGTTCCAGAGCGCTCTCGGAGCGTTCCGGAACGGTCTGGAACAACCGCGGGCGCCCAGAACGTTTGCCAGGCGCGCTGGGCTTCAGAGATCCTTGCATGCCAGTCGTTGGAGGCAGGTATTTTCTTGGATTCCCAGATCCCAGTCCGCTTCAAGCGCCTTCCTACTTCAAGGATCAATATGTCTTTGCTGTGTTTTGGCATGATCCGGGAGGTCCTGAACCCCATCTGCTTAACCCGCCTGCCTACTTCGTGTTTCGACATGCCTCTTCCGACCGACGGGTAGTTATCTTTGCCCGAAGTTGTTTTCTGTTTCCGCAACAAGATGCAGGCCTCGGAAAGCAAAGGCGAACACTCATGCCACACATTCATCGGTCAACGGTCAACGCCTCCCCCCCCCCAATGTTCAAAGTAGTCTCCTCCGCCCGTGCCAACTTTGAATTTGGGGGGAAGAGGGAGTGTCCATGAATTGTTTCCCTCTACCCCACCTTCCCTGACCCCTTCCTGGGGAGACATCCGGCAGGTTGCCCGCCGTTGTTTGTGGGAGACGCGCGGGTGCCCCTTGGTTCGGGGGTGGACAGAACCCCCAACAGTGACACGTCGATTAGTGAATTGTCTGTTTTCGGTTCTCGAGAGGGCGCCGTGGCCGTTATTTTCCAGGCTTGCGCCCGCCAGGTTTGGGCCTCAGGTCGTTTTCACTAAACCACGTTTTACTAAAGGGGGGTCTGTCCATCCCCGATTGGTCGCTGGGGGAAGAGGCGAACCACCAAGCTGGCTGTTTGATTGCGTGGGCGCGCGGACCAGAAACGGTTTCGCCTCGGCGCGATGGCTCGCAGGCGATGTTTCTCTCCCAACCTTAAGTCGGGCCTGTCCCTCCTCTACAGGAGGAATGTTCAAACATAGTCTGGGGACGATTCAGTGGCAATTTTGGGCTATTTTTGAGTATTTCTATTTTTCGTCGAAGATCCCCCCGTAGGGGGACACGCCCGATCTAATCCCAACCCTGCGTTTACATGAAGCTGCTTAGATAAAGGGGGGAAGCCCTGTGATACGCCCCAAGGGGGCCATTCGGACGCACCCCTATCGAGGATGGGCGCCCACCCCCCCTCGTATGTCCCAGGGTTGGGCCCCGACTTTCTTCTGGTCCACTCGGAAACCCCACGAAGCCTGGGGTAGAGGTCGACACATCCCCTGTGAGCTGCGGGAATGGCGGGCGACGTGGGGCGAGTTCAGAGACCATGCTCTGCACGCGTTTTCTCTGCTTTGCCTCGCCTGGGCGCGCCGGGGCGCATCGTGCCTCGACGCAGGGGTGCTCGCATGCCCTTGAGGGGCCGGGCCCCGAGATCCGACGTCTCGAAAACATTGAGGCATCGTGAAACATCACGACTGGGGCCCCTGACTCCATCTGTCTGCGCCATGTTTCGAGCCGGATCCATCTGTGAGGGCCCCGGGGCCCAAAAGAAGGCGAAAACGTGTGGCTCGAAAAAATGGAGTCTCCAGGATCTCAAGGGGGGTGCTATGTTTTGGGGGCAACTTGTTCGGTCCCCTGGGGTCCGAAGAACTTATCCCCAGAACGTCGGTGCCCGATCCGCCGCGGGGTGAGCTCGGACGGGCGGTGAGGTCTCCATCTCGAGGGCTTTCCTCCGAAGGATGCCGCGCGGGCGGATCTCCTCTCGTTGGATTGGCCTGCGCGCCCATATTGTTCGTTCTTTGGTCTTGCGTCGACCGTTTTTGGATCCAGGCTGAACCAGAGGGGAAAAAACACACAGACACAAATGAATCGTCGAGCCCCCAGGAAAATGTAGGAAAATATGGTAAGTGGGGGAGAAGACGAAAACCCAGAAGACATAGGAAAATATTGGGAATCCTGCTATTTGTGTCTATTTATTTAATCGCTTCGCTCATTCCGCTGGCCCGTATTGGTGCACGGCTGTCGAGTGCCCGTGTGATCGTTGTCAATGGGGTGCTGCTGGGTCGTTTTTTTGCTAATCGATGGCTGGTTTTGGGTGATTTCGCAGGCGGGAACCATTTTTTGCCCGCCTGAACCTTTGTTTCGGAAGGTGGCGGCTCGTGAATACGATCGCAGGGAACAATACAACATTCTGCAGTTTCCTTTTTGCATTCTTCGGGCCCCTTGTCGCTTGTTGGGGCCTCTTAGGAGCCTCTTGGGGCGTCCAGGAGGCCTTGGAGCGGAAGGCTCGGATTTTCGGTTCGTGGTCTCCATCTTGGGCCTCTCTTGGGGCCCTCTTGGGGTCCTTTTGGACCGTCTTGGGCGCCTCTTGGGCTGTCGTGGGGCTCTCTTGGACGGTCGTGGGCCTCTCTTGGAGGCCTCTTGGGCCGTCTTGCGGTGGTCTTGGAAGCTTCTTGGGCCGTCTTGGAGCGTCGGAAAGGCGAAAAGGCGAGGAAGCCAAAAACCTTGAACAACCCAATGGAAATCAATGGTTTTGGCGCTCTGAGGCTTCGTGGACTTTCATTGGGATCTCGTTGGATGCCTCTCGAGGACTTCTTGGAGACTCTCGGGAGTCGTTGTCGAGCCTCTTGGGGTCTCTTTCGGGCCCCTTGTCGCCTTTTGGGGCCTTTTTGGGGGCCTCTTGGAGCCTCCAGGAGGCCTCTTGGATCGGAAGGCTCGGATTTTTGGTTCGTGGTCTCCATGTTGGGCCCCTCTTGGGGCCCTCTTGGGGTCCTTTTGGACCGTCTTGGGCGCCGCTTGGGCTGTCGTGGGGCCCTCTTGGGCGGTCTTGGGGCTCTCTTGGAGGCCTCTTGGGCCGTCTTGGGGTGGTCTTGGAGGCTTCTTGGGCCGTCTTGGAGCGTCAGCGTCGGAAAGGCGAAAAGGCGAGGAGGCCAAAAACCTTGAACAACCCAATGGAAATCATTGATTTTGGCCTCTTGGGGCTCTCTTGCAAAGGATCGGGGCTCTCTTGGGACGTCTTGGAAGCTTCTTGGGCCGTCTTGAGGCCGTGTTGGGCGTCTTGGGCCGATCGTTCGGTGATTCGGAACCCTCTTGGACCGTCTTGGAAGCCTGTTGGGGCCCTCTTGGCGCGCTCCGGGGAGCGTGGAAGGCCGCACCCAGGAGGAAAACCATCTCTGATCTGAGTTTGCCGGGAGTGTCCCGGGACCTTGCGGGAGTACTTTCCGTCCAGGGACCCCCAGGGCCGCTTTGCGCGCGCAAAGTATAGAGTTATTGTTAACCAGTTCCTGGAGATCTTAGCACGCCTCTGGCCCGTTGGGCCGGCGAATTTGTGTGTCCCAGGGCCCCTCTACTGAAGAGTCCTTTGACCCTACTCACCCGTTACGAAAGTTATTCATCTCGAGCACTGACGACTAGGGCGTCTCCGAGTGCCCCCCCTTCCCCCGTAGACTCCTAGCACGGCAGTCTTCGGCCTGGCTAGGCGGGAGAGGTTTCCGGGGTTCTCCCTGGTAACATTGATAGTATATAACCAATTCAGGATAAAAATTCTCCCCCGTAAATGCACATGGGAGAAATCACTCCCGGTCACTTCCAGGCAACTCTGAATCTCTCCCCGTATGAAACCACAAGGAAGAATCACTCCCATACCACTTCTCACCACAGCGCCCACACATGTCAAGTTTAGCCAAGATGAGTTAACTTTCGTAACGGGGATGAGGACCCACGACTTTTCCACACGTCAATGTCAGCCAATGTCATGAGGAACCCAAAGTCGAAATCCGAACGGGGCCCAGCATCGCGCTCGATAGACACGTCGCCATCATCATTGCCGCCGCTGCTTCGCTGCGACGACTTACTGCGCATCAGAGTTGTCCCGATTTCGAGCCCCGCCTTGGGCGGGGCCGACCGTCTGTTGTTTGCGTTCGCGCCTGAGGCGGATACGGATTTCGCGCTCGCGTCAGGGCAGCGTCCTTTGCGGCGTCGCCATCGGGCTTCAGCGGTACTGCGTGCACTCGGCGTGCCAATTCCTGCATGATTGCGTCTTGGCGAAGCGTCCCGTCCTGGGCAAGATGGCCAACAAGGCGCGCGCGAGGCGGGTGATTAAGTCGGCGATGTCGCAGACCGTGGCAGGCAACGTTGCCAAGGGTCTGCGGGGCACGTGCAAGCGCGTCGTGGCGGCCAAAGGCGTTGCTGTCAAGGGGTAGCGCTGGTCTCACCCTTGTAGAAAGGCAATGTAAGATACCGCTCACCCGTTACGAAAGTTATTCATCTTGAGCACTGACCACTGACGACTAGGGCGTCTCCGAGCGCCCCCCCCCTTCCGCTCAGGATAAAATCTCTCCCCCGTAAATTCACAAAAGGAGAAATCACTCCCAGTCACTTCCAGGCAACTCTGAATCCATCCCCGTATGAAACCACAAGGAAGAATCATTCCCATACCACTTCTCACCACAGCGCCCACACATGTCAAGTTTAGCCAAGATGAGTTAACTTTCGTAACGGGGATGTATCTGTCTGTCAGTTCGGTGCAACGCGTGCGACAATGCAGTAGCCCTTGGGCGAAGCAGTCTCGCAGTGCCATGCGTCGGCCGCAGTGTCGGTGGAGCGGCCTTGCCGCCGTAATCAAACCTTATCCGCGGTGGACGACAACTGACTCAGACTTCCTGTCCTCATCTTGCCGCGTTGGGGCAGGTCGCGGCCCTGCTTCGGCTCGCGAGCGGTTCCGTTCTGTTGTCTTCTGGCTCGCACGCGATCTTTCAGGAGTTGTTCAGGATATCTTGATACTTACGGATGCACTTCGACTTAACTATCCATCTAGATCTGCATCGGTGTTCTGTGTCCTGTACTGTCTGGCTGGATTTATCCCGCAACTGGGCGAAGAGTCGCCAAGCCTTTAGGGATGGGCTGTGACCGACTCCTGGACACTGGCACCCTGGCACCCGATCTGGTGAACGCCCTGACGGCAGCGAACGGACAAGGGCCGGGCGATCGAGCGGCGTTGGCGACGCCAACAGCAGTTGTTGCAGCGAAGACGCGCGGCACAAGAGAGCCCACAGGGATAATGTTGCTACAACATGTGCGCCGAAGGAAATATGTTGAAGACTGGCGCAATCAAATGCCATTGCCCTTGCGCACAATCTGCTCTTCACTGGGGGCCCCTTCTCCCTTCCCGTCCAACCTTGAGGGGCTCACGAACCCGGTAGGGCATCGAGCCAAATTTTGGTTATGGCATGTCTGCTATGCGCGGTGTGGCATGGTCCAACCCGTGGCAATACAAGAGGTGGGTCGAGAACCAGTGGAACAGCAGGGTCGCACAACACTTAGGTGTGCAGTTGTTTGAGACGCTGCGGTGCTAACAGCAAAGAGAAGCCGCAGAGTGGCCCAGCAGAGAAAGGTACACAGACGTACGGCAGCAACCATTGAAATCAACATTGAAGCAAACACCAGTCGAGGATATCTTAGATCGCGCATCGCCCCTTTCTTCAAAGTCACACCGCTCCTTCCTCCCCATCCTCTTCCCCTATCCTCCTCCTCCCCTATCTCTCCCTCCCCCTTCCCTTCCTCCTGCCCCCTCCTCCTCCTCATCCTCTTCGCCCCCTCCCTCCTCCTCCAGCTTCCCGGTCGCTGCTGCCTTCGTCCTCGTCCGTGCCCTCGTCGCTGCGGGGAGGTCGGCAGAGGCTTCCAGGCTTCCTACGTGGATCCACGTGGACACGTGCCAAACGTGTGTTCGACACCGCCCCTTCTGCGCTGGAGGTAAGTCGGGCGTTTTTTCTTTACAGAAGGAATATCCAGAAATCGTGGAAAAAACAATCAGGGGACGATTTTTGTGCCATGTTTGACTATTCTCGAATATTCGTTTCACTATCGTTTATTTTTCATTTTTTATTTTCCGTCCAAAGTCGGCCTGTAGGAGGACATGCCCGACCTAACGCTGGAGTCTGGCAGCACGCACGCAGCACGCATGACTCCCTCGCCTGCTCGGGCGGCATTCTGCTGGCACTCCGGGCCACGCTGCGCTGCCCCGTGCCGTGGCTCCCTCGGCGGCCTCGGGCCTCGCGTCGGCGGACAGCTCCACGGTGCTGATCGGGCTCCGGTTCGGCGGCGAGCGCGGGGGGAAATGAGAAGGAGAAGGCCTGTATCTCACCGCCCACCAAACCACCCCAACCCAACTCGAAGGCCCCGATCTGCACTTCATTTCCAGTGGGGGGGGGGTCGGGGATCATGGAGAACATACGTATGAAGCCCGTAGCCCCCTTTATCCGAAATTCGGATCTTCGGGTTGGGTTGGAGTGGTCTGGTAGGTAGTCAGTATCGCTGCAGACAGGGCTGCATCGGAAGTGTGGGAGATAGTCCGCCAGAGACGCGGTTACTCCCGCAAGAGGAAGTGGGAACCAGAGCAATCGGAGCGCAGGTAGTTCAGTTCATTCGCAATTCCATCAGGGGAGCGCAAGAGGAGAAACAAAAGAAGGCCTTCTCAGAAGGCGGCGGGACATCTCAGAAGCCCTCGCGCCGGGGGATTTCCGAGCTTTCTGAGGAGCCCTACTCCTCACTTCCCCCGCGGGCTCGCCGCCTACTGGTGCCGAGGCAGATACAACCGATAAAACTCAGCCTTGCAACCACAACCCACCGACCATCCGCGCAAGCATCCTTACTTGCGACGAGTCTGCGGGCCGCATGTTCGACACCATACCCTCATCGTGCGTATCTTTCGCACGTGAAGGATCCGCCAGCCGCATTTTCGACCACCCTTCTGGGCGCCCATGAGCGTGAACGCAACTGCCAAACGTACACGAATCAGACGTATCTTTGACATCACCTCACCTCCTCCGCGCACGTGGGCACCGCCCCCTCCGCGCACGTTTTACATGTGAAGATTCTTCCGGCCGTATGCTCACCCCCCTGGGGCCTGATGCCCCCCTGTGGCGCCCAGCACGCGTTCTGACGTGCGAAGTCAATCCGACGCTCCCTGCTTTACCCGGCTCCAGCCTAGGGCCAAGCGCCCGACAGTACAAAGAGAATCTCAAGCCAGAGTCGTTACTGGAAGGACGTCCCAAAATGCTCTCCTGCCCGTCCGCCGCCGCCGCAGCCGCCGCTGCCTTCGTCGTCGCCGCCGTCGTCGTCGTCGTCGTCGCTGTCGTCGTCGCTGTCGTCGTCGTCGTCGTCGTCGTCGTCGTCGTCGCTGTCGTCGTCGTCGGTGTCGTCGTCGGCGTCGTCATTGTCGTCGTCGTCGTCGTCGTTGTCGTCCTCCCGCCATAGGCCGTCGTGTCCAAGGGCTCCGTGCTCCACGGCCGCGGCCCCAGCGCGCGCAGCCACCTAGCGAGGAGGAGGAGGAGGAAGAGGAGGAGGATGAGGATGAGGATGAGGATGAGGATGAGGATGAGGATGATGATGATGATGATGATGATGCTGACGATGATGATGATGATGATGATGATGCTGGTGATGATGATGGTGGTGATGATGATGATATGATGATGATGATGCTGATGATGCTGATGCTGATGCTGATGCTGATGATGCTGATGATGATGATGATGCTGACGATGATGATGATGATGATGATGATGATGATGATGATGATGATGATGATGATGGTGGTGGTGATGATGATATGATGATGATGCTGATGCTGATGCTGATGCTGATGATGATGCTGATGATGATGCTGATGATGATGATGATGATGATGGTGGTGGTGGTGATGATGATGATGATGATGATGATGCTGATGATGATGATGATGATGATGATGATGATG